TAATTAAATATGCACAAAAAGTTCTTTAAACTTCGAATGATTACTGAAACAAATATAATAAAACGCTATATATGTAATGAGTTTTCTAATGATAAAATACATTTCTTTTATGGCTTAACTGAGACAAAAGTTCACAAATTCGAACACGACAAATTGATTCTCGTTTAAATTCAATTTACTTTCCTAATGACATAGTGTGGTTTAGCATGATTGGTGATGTTTAATAACAGGAGACATGTACCCTCTCTACGCACATAATTTATCACCTTTTAAAAGTTTTGTTTGTCACTTTGATTTGTTCCTTCTTCTTCGATTTACGCGTTTAAAAAGTCAACACGACTATAAAAGAGATAAGATATAAGATATTTTAAACATATTTGACAATAACAATTTGATAACATTTATATTCTTTTTTCTATATATAAGACATATGTTTTTTTTCCAAACAAACAAAAAACAAAGATATTCAACATCTTCAAAACGGAAATATTATCGAAACATACAAAATGTTCTTTAAAACATCGAAATAGTTAGACATGCCAGACTTGTTGTAATTTATATCTTATTGTGTATATTCAACACCTTTTAATTTGCTTTTAACATAATTGTATACAATAACCTTTGAAATTATTGACATTAAGTATGTTTACCATTACAGTTTGTAAAACAAACATTTTTTTTAAAATCCAGGAAAGTACAATAAAATCTTCTGATACACAGTGTATCAAGTGACGATAAGTAAACATATTCAAATAAATACCGTACATGTAACGGTGTAGATCTGTTATTTTTCCGATTTGTAAGCATGGTGTTATTTTTTTTCAAAAAATAATGAAACGAACGTAAGCAGATATAAAATCTGATGAATCAAATTATATTAAGTTATGTTCATATATATTCATTTATCATATCAAAATGTGTAAAAGTGAAATTTATTGAACATTCCAAATTAAAAACATCTGAAGTTCATACTTGTAGCATCCCTATTGCAGGTGGGTCCTGAAGTGACATTTTTGACACAAGTGGGTTTTATAGTGTTGTTTTTGTTCTGTTTTCCCTGTTATTTATTTCAACTTACTTTTTCTGTATCGAGTATATACCATATACGATATGCACTAACAACGATAAAAACCTCTTTTTCGTTGACGTTATTGTAAAATTTACGTCGCTGATTTGTCTTGCGTCTGGCTTACAAATATTTTGTCCTGGCATCTATGATGAGTTTAATAACTATATACTTCACCTTTTTTAATGGCGTCTTTGTAGGATTAATTTACCATAGCTGTATTTGGCAAACTTTTGGGAAATGTTGGTCCTCAATGCTCCTCAACTTCGTACTTTGGTTGGTCTTTAAATTTGGTTTCTTCGATAATCACTGATGACTCTTTTGTAGACGAAACGCGCGTCTGGCGCAAATACTAAATTTGTATCCTGGTATCTATGATTAGTTTATTTTTATTATTTTATATATACGTTTTTCTAATTGTTTAGTCAGTTGGGTTGTATGTTTGCATGTTTGTGATGTATGTTTACACAGTTTTGGCTGCTTGATTCCAATCATTGTCACATCAACCTATTATCTCTGTTTGGGTTGCTTGTCCAATTTTGTCAAATGGGAGGTTTAACTTTAACTACCTATAAAACCATGTTTAACCAACAATTTTCTCCAGAAGTACCAAGTCATAAATATGGTAATTGTTTCACGTTGATTGCTTTTGTTTCATTTTGTCAGTTTTCATGAACTTTCTCTTTTTGAATTTGCTTTGGAGTTCGATAATTTTGCTAAACTTTTTTCTTCTAGTTAAAGATAGATATTCCTATGTGGACCATGTTCCATTTTCTAGTTAATCTGATTGAAAGCCTGATATCGTTGATGATTGTTTTTTTTTTCAGATATATACGACCGATATCTTTATTTAGTTTACCTTCTGTCTAAATTACATCGGTTCTCTGAATAGTCAATTAAGTATTAATATGACTCTACGTTATTCGAATTCACTCTGGACAAATACATATTGATTTCAGGCCCATAGCAACTGCTGTTGGTAATATTAAATTCTTACTCACATTTGTCAAATTATAATACTACTCAGTTTGCAAATTACATGCAAGTGTCTAACCTTGAAAACGTCAAATTTGAACTTGGTCTGAATTGATATGAAACAGCAAATTAAAATTGATTAATAAATAAAAAATATTCATATCTACTAGTTGTAATGATATGAATTATATATTAAAAAAAGACATACTATCATTCATTTTTCATGGCATGTATGTGCTTGTTCCAAGTCAGGAGTCCGGAAAAAAAGGGTAAAAATTTGATTGGTTAACTTCAAGTGATGGTTAATCTCTTCTATGCAATGAAATGTTAAGTGAAATTCTGTCTACTGTACTGGACAGGATACAACTTTATTCAGGCCAAGTATTTCTTTATTTGAAAAAAAGAAAAATTCTGAACAATTTTTTGAAAAGTGAAAATTTAAGACTAATAGGGGAAAATCAATGGTGGTATTACACCTATTATGGGAAGCTGCACATGCACCTTTGATCTTGTATGTACTCTCATTTGTTAAAATTTCATGCTATTTCAGTGAAATATTCTGAGTTGATTGAGTTTCAAAACCACATTTTATCAGAAAATTGCCTTGAAATAGGACTCTACTTTGAATCCAAGTAGACAGGGCAAGCCATACTCAGTGTTTTTGGGAGCTTTTTCTGACTTTTTCACCTTATTTTTTATATTTTGCAATAATAGAAAACTTTTTCCTAAGTAATACTTTAATAAATATATAGTTATAAGTAAATGAAATTATTTTTGAAGCAGTAACAACAAAGTATTCACTAAAAGGGAAGCTTTGTATGTCCCTCTCTAGGACGCGGCGTACATTTAAGTTTTACGTAAGGACTTATTGAAACCTCCATGGAGTCAGTAAACTTGTATATGGATAGTTCATTCAGCTTTAATATTTATTATCCCATTTCTTTCATAAATGAGTGAAAGTTACCCCAAAATGTTTATTTATTGGCCTAAAAAGTTGAAATTTTGAGGAAATGAGAGGTATAAATGGACCAAAAGCGACCTTTTAACGAAGACAAAGAGGTCCATTAGTGATATTTATCATCCTGAAGTCATACTTTGTATTATATTCAACTGTTTGTAGGCAGATTAGATAAATATTTAATCAGTTACTGGTCCACACTATATTCTATCATGATGCGGCTTGATTTGGATTTTTCAAAGAAACTTTGCTCGAATCGTTGTAGATGACGTCTTACATTATAATAGATTTTTCTTAAACAATTGAACTGATTATGACAAAACTTGTTGTTAATGCTTGAAATAACCAGTATTACAAACGAAAAAAATCATATTCCATTTATTCAACAAAACAGTCTTCTTTAGGTGTAAGACCACCAAATCATAGTACGTCACATCCGGTTGCATACGAAAAGGGGTTATTTGAATTTGACAGTTGCAGATATTTAATCCTACATTTCATTGCAGTAAAACATTTCAGAGTCATAAACTTATTTCTTGGGTGTTTCAAAGCACCATTATTTTTTATTTGGTGTTTCTATATAAAAGGGGTGAAAACTTGATTGGTTAACTTCCATTGATGGTTATTTTCTTATATGCAATGAAATGTTATGCAAAATTTTGTCTACTGTACTGGACAGGATAAAACTTTACTTATGCTAAGTATTTCTTTGTTGAAACAAAGATAAATTATTTGAAAGTGCAAATTTAACAAAGACTAATAGGGGAAAATCAATGGCCGTATTACACCTATAGTTGATTTGTTTCTCTCGGTTTTAGTTTGCAACCCGGATTTATTTTTTTTAATCGATTTATGACTTTTGAACAGTTGTATCTACTGTTGCCGTTTTTTACCCTTCCTGAGCACATGAGTTTCCCCCAAAATTTTAGTGGGGTTCATGTTGCTCAGTCTTTAGTTTTTATGTTGTGTTTTGTGGACGTCTTTCTGTGGGTTTTGTTTTATTATTGCTATGTAGTTGTCAGTTTTTCTTTTATACATGAGTTTGGAATGTCCGCATGGTATTTTCATCATCTGTTTTACAACTTTTTTTTTTTCAAACTGACCATGTACAATATCTGACTTGAAAGAGACCACTTCACATAATTTTCATAGGAAGAAAACTCGAATGACTGTCTTTTTATTTTACCGGCAAAGGCATGGTTTTCAAATTACTAAGTAACACCTCAATACATGTGTAGGACTCTGAACCGTGATGGTAATCCGAACCGCGATGGTCACGCTGAGGTGCGATGGTTTGACGCTGAAGTGAGTTTTTGGTCACACTGAAATGCGATGGTGGCATTGAACGCTATCTTGTTGATAGCTACGCCTAGGTTCGATGGTGGTAACGCTGAAATGCGATGGACTACATAAACTATATTTTCAATGCTTTTCATATCGTATGTAGAAGTCAATTTGTATGTTAAAAGAAGTTTTCAGGGTTTTTAAGTTAATAAGAGGCTTATAAACTTTAATTACTACGAGAAATGGGGAGGATTAGTGCAACGCCTGCTTTCCAACTGGGTATACTATTTTTCAGTTGACTTTATTTATCTTCATATGTGGATTTTTCTTTTTTTAAATCTACAATAGGTATCATATAGACCATCGCACATCAGCGAACGAACCATCGCACTCCGGCGGAGACCATCGCACTCCAGCGTGACCATCGCACTTCAGCGTGCCCATCGCACTACAGCATCCCAATCGCACCTCCGAGTCCTACACATGTAAAACGTTTTTGTTTAGAGTAAATTGATCTTTCTAGAACGATCAGCACATCATCCATCTCCAAGAGCAACTGTAAGGATAAACTACTACATTGAATAATATCAATAAGATTGTTTTCATTTTAAAAACAAAGATAATCGATTCAAATTATCATTACAGATAATTGTTAGAAAAATGTGCAAATTATACAAATGCAATTGCAAATTAAAGTAAACAGCAAAACTATTTAAAATCACTCTATATACACTTTTTTTTAAATCTCAACATAATATGGCATTTGAATACACAAGGTATCAATAGAAAATATATGATCACACAGGTATATATAGGAAAATAGTATTACTCACTAGATATATTTTACAAGGCCACAAATTAAGAATAAATGAAACTACTTGGCCAATTAAAAAAAAGGAACAGAACCAAGGTTGATATGAGCTCTAAGCTTAAAAACAATATCTTCTCAAAGCAACTAAAAAAAGTGGAATATTTCGAAAAAAACTTTATAACCTATCCCGTTTATCTGAACAGATACATATACCGATACATTCCAATCGTAAAATTTATATTTTATTATATTAATATTTACAGTAAATTATTTCTGAAAGTTTAACCTTTCCTCAGGGAGTAAAAAACTTAGTCATTAGTTTCTGAATAACTTCTAAATTTATCAACGGAGAATGTCAGAAACAGTATATTATATCTTTGTCTTATTTTATTTCAACGTTAGTCGGCTCCGCCTTTCTTGCTGTTTTTTAATTGTAATTGAACTGTGGCTTTAAATATGTGTGCTGCAAAGTCCGTACATTTTTTTCTGTATTTCTTTATATTTGGATCTTTTTTTATGTCCTTCTTTAAAGACTGTTCACTAATATATATTGAATAAAGTCTTAATTCTTAACAGATTTGTAATCACCCTGTTCTCTTCTGGGGGATTACCATATTTATCAGAATCCTCTTGCATGTTTTGAAACTGCTGCAGTGTAGGCAGCAATGACTGGTATGGATTCAGATAACCGTCGTTTGGTAGCCGAATCCTATATGACGAATCACATGAGTTGTAGCCATAGTAAGACGTCGTTGTTCGGTTGATGGAAAAATTAAATTCGACATCTCAAGCTCGTTGATATGTTTATTTTTGTGACCACTTTCCTTTCGTATTGAGACGTTTTGGCTTGTTTCAACGTCATGTTCTATGTTAGTTTCGCGGTTACTTTCATATATATTTCGGTTAATTCCTGCATTTTTGTTAATGTATCTGATAATGAGAATGGCGGAAATGTCGGGTCCACACGATATATATATTATAACGTCTGTATTTATAATAACTACAATACAATAAAAAAATATGTATAAAAAACCTATCACTTTCCTTCATTCATTTCATTGTTAAAAATCGTCCCATTAAGGGTAACGTCCAATCAAATCTTTACCTTTGAAAAATTATTTTTGTTTTGCTATTGATTATCAAAACAACATCATTAGTTATCCGCCAAAAAGATATACATTTAGTTCCGAAATTCTAAATTTGTATAATTCAATGTCTCGACATCGTTTCGATTTTATGCACACTACTGCAAACACCTCACAAATTGCTGAAGCTGTAAAGGTCTAATGATTTATTCAATTAATAATTTTAACACTAAAATGATGAGAATATTTGTAATCAGATTGCTGATTTGTCATTGAACATGCTTGTTGGATTAACATTTTGCACATAAGGCCATCTTAAGATGACCCTTTTTTGAATATTATCATGTTACACGCTGTGATTAACAAATTTGACAGAGCAATGTAACATATCTGATTTGTTTAACATTTATACAATAAAAAACTAAATATTAGAATTTAGCTTATATCATGTTTAAACAAAATGATAAAAAGCAATCATCTTGTTTTATCTGCAAATTGTGTAAAATTGGAGTTTTGTAGTTATACGTGGAAAAATAATTTTTATGTTAATATAAAGAATACTAAACGTTAACATTTTAACATGTAGTTTGAGAAGTTTACACTTAACACAAACTTTTATGAAAAATAAAAAAATGTGGAACATCATGATCCTATTCTAATTTTTTTTAAAATATGTATATTTACTGTACCTCCATTTATGAAATAACCTTGTGAAATAACGGTGTGAGCCAATGCTCCGTGTTGAAGACTGTACTGTGACCTATAATGGTATACTTTTATAAATTTTGACTTGGATGGAGAGTTGTCTCATTGGCACTCATACCACATCTTCTTATATCTATTATCTTTATTTTCTCCACTTATATGGCTTTATTTAAAATATTTAATACTTAAAGTTTAGGAATTAAGTCTAGTCTTATCTCAAAATATCCGTACTAAAAGGTCTCCATCGATTAATGTATGCTATTTAAATCCAAATTGCTGACGACATATGCAATGTTCAAAGGAATATAACATATTTCGAAGATATTTGCACGAATGATATCCCTTCCATTGAGCTCTTATGTAAGAAGAAACAATAGATTTCTATTATTATATTTTTGAATTAATGTCCTACACTTTATTTAACATTATCGAAATTATTGAAACCCATATATTCATGTTTATTAATGTATACGTAATAATATACTAAGACAGCTCTCCTTAAAAGACCAAATATCTGCAACTAGAGGATTCGGTATGTATAATATATTAATTTATTAAACTTCTATTTTTGTTTGTTTAGTTTGCCACAAAATGTGTAAAATATAACAGTAACCTACATAACGAAACAAACAACATATAAGTTGCAATTTATTTTAATTTTGAAATTTTTGACAGGCTGAAGTGTTGGATACATGTGCCAGACACTAGTCAACATTTTAACAATTATTATAAAAAAACATTTTAATCAAGAAAACAATTCGTCTGTATAAATGGATAATATTTTCCTAAACGTTTAAGTTAATTGTTTATTTCGTTAATTAAATCAAATAACCAACACAAGTAAAGCAGCAGTTTGTGCAATTCATGATGATAAGTAAGATGTTACCTTTGTTATTTATTCATAAAATGATATGGTAATATCAGCAAATTTCATTAAGTCCCTATGTTATCTTCATGTCAATAACTGTTGTATTGTTTCTAAAATTAATGCACTTGTTTTCGTTTATTGCTTTTGCATGTATCAAATACTTGCTATTCTAGTTTAACTTTTTCCACTTTATGACATGCACAGGACTTTATAGCTCATTGTTCCATACGGTCATAATTGAGACGTACTTTGACCTTAAGTTACTTACACCAACACTTTTTAATCTCTGATGGATGTTAGTCACATTGGTTTACATATCATATCTTCCTTTCTAATATGAAACATTGTTTGGTGACCTGCATGCTATTGCTTTTTTACTTGATGAAAGCCATCTCATTGAAACATAAACATTTTTTGATTGAGTTAAGCCTTCCAATTGATATTTCATAGTGTGTTTTTCTATGTTGTGATGTTATACTATTGTTTCAGAAAAGGGAGAAGGTTCGGTACCATTAAAACGTTTAATCCCGCTGCAAATGTTTGCACCTGTCCTAAGTCAGGAATCTGATTACTGTAGTTGTCGTCTGTTTATGTAGTTCATACGTGTTTCTCGTTTCTCGTTTTTACATAGATAAGACCGTTGGTTTTTCCGTTTGAATGGTTTTACACTAGTAATTTTTTTTGGGCCCTTTATAGTTTGTTGTTCGGTGTGAGCCAATGCTCCGTGTTGAAGGCCGTACCTTGACCTATAATGGTTTATTTTATAAATTGTCTCTTCGATGGAGAGTTGTCTCATTGGCACTCATACCACATCTTCCTATATCTATTAAGTATCATTTGCCATGTATGTGTGTAAATGACTAGCTGCCTTTTCATTGTCATTTTAACTCGACATTTGTTTATTTTATTAAAAATAAAGATACGCTGTATTATAATACCTCTGCATTTGGTGAAGTTATGGTTATTTAACAGTTTGTATTCACACATTGCACCAGAAACTCTCAAATTTGTAATGTAGTTTAGAAAATCCTTAAATATTTTCATCCTGTAGTTGGAGCAGTTCAGTCGGTTGCTTTTTAATTCCCTGTTAATAAAAACAATAAACATGAAATATAAGACCCTCCATGATGCAATATCTACAATGTATCTACAATACTACTGTTTTTAAATACACCAGACTAAATCCATGTATATCATGTTTACATAATTTAAAAAGAAGTCGAGTACATAGACATTGGAAAACAGCCGGAAGAATATAAAAGGGTTATCACATTGCTGACGTTGTCTTTACACTAACATTGTGGAAAGTGTACCATCTGACCTTTAGCAGGAGTGAACATGGTTTACTCATTAGTTGACATTGGGTTTTTACTTCGCTTCGATTACTGCATTGATTACTAGATTATTACTTTGAGTAGTTTGTCACTTTTTGTTTTACTGAATACCCATAATGAATTAAATTCTTATTAGTTGTCATTGGCTTTGGAACAGCTTGCGTTTGTTTCTACTATATTCCTGTTATGCAGTGTTGTCATTTTAGCTGTATTATTAACATACATTGCCACATAAGCGGGGGGTTTGGCTAGCCATAAATCCAGGTTCAACCAACTATATTTTCTAAAAATATCCTTTGCTAAGTCAGGAATATGGCAGTTATCAAATAGTACTTTTCTATGTATATTGACGTTTGTTTATGATGCAGTTCAGTGTTTCTGTTGTTTTAAGTAGTAACCCGAATTTGTTTTCGCTTAGTCGATTTATGACTATTGAACAGCGGTATACTACTGTTGCCTTTATTTACAGTTAATACCAGAATTCTGAGGTCGGTATGTTGTATCTTTTCGTTTTACTTAAAGTAGCAGTTTCTAATAGAAATACTCACAAAATTCGTGCAGCATGTGGAATATTAGACGGGAATGTCGTTAGATTCGAGTTTGTGTAATCAACATCCAAGTTCCAGCATGGACAACCATAGACTGTGCTTCCAAAGACAGTGTTTACGAATAAAATAATTGATCTGGACATTTTCATCTTAATACGCCTGCAAAATATGAATAATACTGTAAAAGTACTTCTTTCGAATTAAAATAATGAGTGAATATTGTCATCAAATGCTGAAATCTAATCATTTCATTCTAGAAATTGTAAACATTTTAAAAAATTGAAAAAAAATAGTTATTTTTCTAGAGAATTTAACGCAGTCACTTAATATAAAGTTCAATCACTTCTATCATGCGTTCATTTAATTATTCTTTCATCATAAAATCAGTTTTATAACTATTTTGAATAAAACCAAATTCGTGAAGCAATGTGCAAATTGTATGTCGTTTGATCAACACGAAAGAGGTCTACATTTAAAATAAGAAATTTTATTTTATCTAATTACTCATGGCATGATCAGCTGTAAGTACTAGTAAAACATAATTAAGTTGTTGTAACAGATGGATTGAAATGAAAAGCTTTGGGTTTTTTAATGTTCTTGATGAAGGTAAAATGTAATCCAATAAAAGCGCTTCGGACGCACGTAATTTATAACGTGCTATTTTCATTTTTCCTTTATCCATACAACATTAATGAATTTCGAAGGTAATGCAAATCAAACTTTTAAATTATAATGCAATAAACAGAGCAAAAGTGGAAGACTTGTAGCTACGACTCAGGGAATATATCATACAGGTTATCATTGAAATGGAAACAGAGTGTTTTCAGTACAAAGGATAGTCGCACCTTTAATGTTAGTGAAAACACAGACATCAAACAATAAATTACCACAAAAACGATCACTTCAAAAACAAAAAAACTCCAGCTTTTTTTAGTAAGTTATATGAATGCACTTAAAGTTTCAATAACTGACACCTGTATATTACTTGATCGTCTGGAAGGATATTAATGAACCAGATAAAACACGTTACCTCTGTATACATGCAAGGAGATGCACGGCGTCAATAAATGAAACGCCGATTCGATGAGACAAGAAAGCCACAAAACATGTTTAACCCCGCCGCATGTGTGCGTCTGTCCCGAGTCAGGAGCCTCTGGCCTTTGTTAGTCTTTTATGTTTTTTTTTAATTTTAGTTCATTTATATGTTTTGGAATTAAGCGTGACGTCCATTTTCACTGAACCAGTACACAATTTTATTAAGGGGCCAGCTGAGGACCACCTCCGGGTGCGGGATTTCCTCGCTACTTTGAAGACCCATTGGTGGCTTTCGGCTGTAATTTGCTCTTTGGTCGGGTTGTTGTCTCTTTGACATTTTCCCCATTTCCATTCCCAATTTTATAAGAAAGCGTACAGCTTTTAAGAATTAACATATGTCCAAACTATATTTAAAAGACTTAATCGACTCATGTAAACTAACTTGAATAATTTAAACAAAACTGTCAACGATCTGTCATTAACATTGACTTTTACAAACATAAATACGATTAGACAAAACGTATCCCATGGTGAAATCTAGATTTTGGATAGGCACACTAAATGTGTCGCTTGTATGAGATCTTAACCCTTTTCATTTAATGTCGTTGACTATACTAACAAGAAGTATATAAATGAAATGACAATACACTCAAATCCTTTTACATCTAACTAAACAATGACAATGTTGGCAATTGCTAAGTCGATTAATCATGTGTAGCTTGTCTTTGGTGTTTGTTGCTGATTGTTCCATTTTGTAATTAAACACAATCTTTGTATATTGATGTGGATTGATACCTGTTAATAGCTCAAAATGAAATTTTAATTTACTCAGAGCTGGTGTTATTTTCGAATCAGAAAGATATTTCAAAACGATACAAGTAAATCGATTACAGAAAATTTAGAACTATTTTCGAAAACAATTTCTACGAATCATGGTCGATGATATATATTAATAAATAAGTATTTCCATATATATTTGTTTATTTCATGGTTGATAATGATATGATTTGATGTAATTGGGATGTAACTAATTAATATAGAATATAATAATGCTAACCTGAGCGTAACCCGAGATTTCTTGTATTAATAAACAGGGACCATGTTGTGTTTAAGTATGTTAAACTGTCTTGCTACAATTCTCTGTGTGACTGATATTATTTATTCTGCAGACATTCTAATAAAAAAATTACTAACCGGATTTAAGTGATGGTTGTTCTTCTTCAATGAAACAATGTCTCAATTTGTAAAGCTATTTGTGTATTTCGTCCACTTTCATTTTAATACATTCCTATTAATCGAAAATATTTTCTGTTCTTATTAGAAATTTACCAACGCTATGGGTTATTATATTCATATTTAATTAAATCCTTCATTTGAGTGTACTTACAATTGAGTTGTTTTTTCCGTCGAAAATATTTAAAGGACGTGTTACACTGTTAAACATTTGTTTTTGCGTAAATACATTAACACATAATTCAAATCAGATAAAAGTGCGACAATAATGTTTAAATATTGAATGAAATATTTACCTGATTCGCAATTAACATTATTGTATACACCAACCTTTGTATTGATTACCTCTTAGCATGGTCCACCATTACAGTTTGTAAAATAAACCTTTTAAACAATCAAATTCCAAATACACGCTTAGGTATCCTATGAAAAGTAAACATAATCACATAATCACCGTAACTGTAAAGATGTAGGTCTGTTACTGTTCCGATTTGTAAGCAGACATAAAATATCATGAATGAATTTATATCCATTCATGTTCATTTATGTTGATTCATTTTATTAAATTGTGTAAAAATAACATTTATATATATCTTATTATACATTCTCCCTGGATAGCAAATTGTTAAATAGCACATAGTACAATATAAATCGTTTAATTGTAAAAATAAAAATTAAAACACGGATAAAGAGTTCAAGTTTCGAAAGCATAAAACAAAATATTGTTAAATAAATGATGCTGTGTACGGAGAGTTCAAAAGAAAATCAATTACAGGTTGCTAAAGTAAATAATGTTGCACAGTTAAGCACGCAGATATTTTTCATAGCACGTGAAAATAGTTTAAATATGTTCTAATAATCATAAAGGCATTATATATCATGTTTACAATGTAACTGACGCTATGATTAGCCACTCTTTGTGTCCAGGAAACTAAACATGGACGTGTCAAGGAAGATTTACGAAAAACTAAGTAGGGGCCTCAATATAAATCAAAAATATATATGTTTACATAAATTCGCAAAAAATCCAACGGGAAACTGGGTTCGACACATCTTCTTGTGCGTTAGCAGAACAATATCTCCTTCGACGAGATCGCAGCATTCTTTGGTGCATTGCCTTCTTTATTGGTGTGACGGTATAAATACCTTCCTTCAAGGTTGATGAAGAGATAGAACGGTCCAAATGGCCCTCTTGTTAATCAGATGTGATTTATTTCTCAATACTTTGTGAGTAGTTGATTCGCATCACTTGCAGCGAAAGTCGTTTTGTGTTAACAGTTCTTCGTTTTCTCAGTTGAAATTGAACTAAATACTTGAATTATTTAAACCGATGCTGTGTCCTAGAAAGGATACACGGTCTTGTTGCTGACATTTTCCTCCAAGTTAGTGTTAACTGCCGTCTAATGAACGCTGATTTTATAGATGGAGTTAGGAGTGAACCTAAGCGCAGCAACTCTTCTGATTTGTCTCACCTCTGACTCAAAGTTAAATCCGGGATTGTTTGATCTGGAACATTTACTTATAAATGCAGATTTTAGTGAAAGACGGAATAGCAACTCCGTATTTTATTTATGTCTTGAAGACCTTGTTGTCCCATTTTACTCTGAGTCATTAAGGATATTTTACAAAATTAGATTGAATTCCGTACGAAAAATTAAAAACAAGCTAGCAGACATCCAAGCTTTGGATTTTCTTTTTTTTTTATTCTTTTAATGAGAGAATATTTGACAGCGGTCGATACCAAAGGGCAATCAAATTCATGTATGGAAGTCGAAGGAAATCTGACAATGCGATGACAAAAAAACGACAAAAAGGAAACAGGATGTACGACAAATAAGTCTACTAAATACTACATCGAAAACTAACGACTGAGCCATCCGAAAGCCACTAAAAGCCAGGGATGAAATTGTTTGCTCCGGAAGTGTTTTTCTCGATGTTGTATATTTTTGGTACTTTTACTTCATGTTACTGTATTGACCAATATTTTACGTAAGCCACAGGACATTAACACAAGAAACAATCATTCAATAATCTGTGGTGTCTAGTACCCGTAACTATCAATGGTGAAAACACTATAATCCCCTCTCCTCCCATAAAATAATAGATAGATTAAAGAAGTGATATCTCTATTCTTTTAACATGTCTACCTTTTTAAAATGAAATAAGACTTTATCAAAATTTAAATCTTACATTTCTTGTACAAAGTAGTAATAAGATAGATCTATTCTTCTTTTGTTTGATAACTGAACAATTAATAAATACTTTAAGTTAGGCAAGATGGCATATATCTGCTTTCAACGATTAAAAAGGAATGTTTTCACAATTAATGATTAACGAAAGTAAGTCTCGTTTCCATTTGATGATTTTTAGAATAATAATGAGGATAGTAACCTTTAAATTTTTTGAAAACTTTTCCAAATCAACTTTGATTTTTATCAAACTTTGCAGCTATCTCAATTATATATTGATCTTACAGAATACCAGGTTGCTAGATTTTTTACCTATTAATTAAATCCTTAAATTTGAAAGCAATACACCAAATTACCACACAAACCGGCATTCTGTAAGATCAATATATGATTGAGATAGCTGCAAAGTTTTATGAAAATCAAAGTTGATTTGGAAAAGTTATTAAAATATTTAAAGGTGACTATCTGAATTTAGTCCAAACTGAAAATTCTAGCTTTTTACCTATTGATTGAATCCTTAAATTTGACAGCAATAGCCAAACTACAAAACAACCTGTCATTCTGTTAGATCAATATATAACTGAGGTCGCTTCAAAGTTTTATGAACATCCAAGTTGATATGAAAAAGTAATAGAAATTAGCAAAGGTCACTATCTAAATTTTATCAGAACTAAAAAATTCTATCTTTTTTTTTACCTATGAATTATATAATTAAATCCTTTTATTTGACAGCAATGAACCAAACTACCAAAAAACCTAGAATTTGTAAGATCAATATATAATTGAGATAGATGGGCTGATTCAGACCAGTGGAGACAAAATTTACAGGTCAAGACTGAGCCGAGACAGATCGAGACAGGTCGATAATAGTCAAGACTGAGTTGTGACTGGTCGAGACTGGTAGAGCATTTGTCGAGACCGTATTCAGACTATACCAAGATTATCAAGTACTCAATCAGACTTATTTAGTAAAATCGGGACCAAAGTCGAGTACAGTTCAGTACTGTCGAGATTATGTTGAATCTTGTCAAGAAAAACCAAGGGAATGTCAACGAACGTCTCGTCCTTTTTCTAAAAAAAGATCATCAGAAGATACCAAGACCTTGTTGATGAGTATTCCGTATCAACTTCACAAATAATACACGATGGTCTTGAATTATAGATTCTAGGTACTGGCGTTGTTTATCATCTTAATAACGTGTTATAGCATTCTTTATTTGTCTTTGTAAATTATTACTTTTACCGTTTAGTCTAATTTTGGTAGTGTCCATTTGACGGTACTTGTACATCCCGTCATTGTGTTATTGTGCTGTGGTAAATTTTTGTATTCTTGTCTTTCGATTTTTGCTTAAGTGCTTTGTTTATATGCCTTTTTGTTTTTCTTTGTTGACATATTTGTTTGTTCTTATAGTGATTGGGATTATAACACAATGTTGACTGCTGTACCCCTATTTTTGACATTTTTACCTATTATGTCTGTTTGTTTAGTTCACACATCGTTGTCAATATTATGGAATTTTATGCGACTGTCATACAAGTGAGAGGTTTAGCTAGTTATAAAACCAGGTTTAATCCACCATTTTCTACACAAGAAAATGACTGTACCAAGTCAGGAATATGACAGTTGTTATCCATTCTTTTGATGTGCTGAGCTTTTGATTTTGCCATTTGCTTAGGGACTTTCCGTTTAGAATTTTCGTCGAAGTTCGGTATTTTTGTAATTTTACTTTTTTCAGACTCTGAGCAGTTTGTAGTGTTTTATTTTTAAAGGAATGAAGATTATTCAAATTGGTTTTCAATGAATCAGCTAAACATTTTTGTTAATGATGCTCCTTACAGTTTGGACAATTGTTTAAGGTTAGGTAATTTTAGAGTTAGAAACCATAATCTAGGTACTAGTATCTGTTCATTAATCAATTGAAGTGAAATAATTCTCAACTTAAATGTCTTTTAGGTCATTAAGAGCTTGCAATTATGACTTATTTTTATAGTAATTTACAACACACCTCCTCTTTTTATAACTTGTACTGCATTGTTATTGTTTGTTATTCTTTTTTTATATCTTGAAAGGATGAAGAGCATTTGGAATCAGTATGGATCTGTTATTCGTACTTGTACATATTAAGATATTAAAATAAATCCTGTTTTACCTGAATATATTTTAGGGTATGAAATGTGTAAAGAAGTAAAACAGTGTTTATTAGAATAACTTCTTTTCTTTTGCTGAGTGGATACGAGTACCGCTGTTGTAGATGTTGTTTTTAAATTATTTAAGGATCGGGTTAAAATTTTTTTTTTTAAAATGCACCTATGTTTAACAGTTAATAATAAATTTGTCTGCATGAAATTAACAAGATCTTGGGAAATACTATTCAATGTCAAAAATTAAAAAAATCGATATCAATTTCATTTTTTATCGTTTATATTTAACACTAACTACATGGCAATGCTGTAAATGCTTGGAGTTCGTAATCAGCATATACATGTACTTGGTATGGGTAAACAAATATGTACATATCTTTGAATGGATGAATCACTGATACCGCGTTAAAGTTGTATTTATATCTAATATAATAAATCGAATTATAACAATTTGTTTTGGAAAAATATTATAAGTCACAAAACAAGAGGCACACGAGGGACATTATAAGCTTTTAAGGTAGCACTACAGTCAGAATTTTCTGACTCCAATCAACAGTCTTTAAAGATTGATTTCTCCAAAACTACTCAATGGATTTTTAAAATATTTAACTCATTTTAAAGCTGAAATATAACTCTTTCTTAATCTATAGATAAATTTATTTTTGGTATGATTAATCTCAAAATATAGCTCATTAATTGCCAAAAAAAGGGTCTTCCAACTTGGATGAAAATGGCACATTCAGGTCAAATGGTAGTAAAAATTTGTTTTCATCCCTTTAATCAACCATTCACAATCTACAAAACCGTGTCTCAGATTTTTGATATATGCCTCCAGTAATAAGATA